GTTCTCAATGTACAATCACCAATACTTTATGTTTTAGCCTCCTCTGTTGCTCTGTTGTTATAGTTGACCTGTTAATCAGCAGACAAAAGTCATGCGGAAGGATTATTGCGACCTGTTTTCATCACCCACCCAAAAAGTTACCATTCCCCATTGAACCATCATCATCCAGCCAAAACGAACCTTCACATTCAACGGGAAATCCTCAAATGACATCAACATATACCGATCGCCCCTGGCACTAGCATCACGTAGCCGCTGCTGAAAACACTTCAGTTACTCCAAATTAAGGGGGCTGGAGATCTTCATGCCTCACCATTTATCAATTCATTCTTCACTTTACTTTAGTTCTTCTTCAACAGCAAAACAACAACACCAAAAAAGGTGATAACTGTTTTTTTTTCCTTTTTTCATTCTTTCATTTCTTTTTTATCCTACCTTATTCCCATCCTTAACACATCCATATTAATGAGCACCAAACTTTTTGTAGCCTCAAAATAAACTAATGAGAAATCACCTAAACAACAACCACAACGACACAGATGAAAAATGATGAAGAGAACACGAGCCATAATGAAGAAGGTAAGGCGTGGAAAATGGATACAAGTTCAAGATTGTCTGTGAAAAGACTGTAGGCCGACCGACCTTGATAAACAACTCAACAGCTGTACGAGCTGTATCAAGTAACGACGTCCCTTGATAGGTTTTCTGAGCCATCGAAGCACTGGTATCTACCAAGAAAAGTACTATGGTCATTTCTCATGAGGAATTGTGGAAAGAGTTGCTCAGAAATCCCTTTCTGAAATCAGCCCTCGAACAGTTTGATGAATTGGCTTCGAAAAATTTTCTTTCAATAGTCTTTCATTTACTTTTCCTTTAAAAAAACTTTTCGAATCAGACACCACGTAGCGTAACACAAAAAAAGAAAAAAAAAGTTGAGAAGAAACTGGAAAATTGAAAAATTTGCAAAAATAAAAGAAAAAAACAAGGAAAAAAACAGAAAAAAAAAAAGAAAAAAGGATACGGAAGAAAATTAAACGCAAAATTTGTCTTTGTTCAATCAATATACCAACAAAAAATTTTCATGGCGCGACTTCTCCTACAAACACAGCTGTAGTCTGAATGACTGAAAGTCAGTGAGTGAGTCAGAGTATATGCTCGGTCTACAACCCAACACACACCACCACCACCACCAGAAACCTTTCCTCCAGCTTTGAACACGACGTGCAGCAGCAACTCACCGACCTTAGTGAATGAATAGGTTTTAGAACTTATAGCGCTTTTATAGCGGGGCGTGTCGCCAATCAACCAATTGCCGTACAAATGTATCGTTTCTTTGCGCTGGTCACTTATTCGATTCTTTCTTCCCTCTCTTTTCTGTCTGCTGAATTATCTATACACAAGCACACACATACACACAGACACACAAACATAGACAGACACTTGCAAACATATACAGACACGCAAACGCACGCAACTCCAAATGCATACAACATGTACATATATGTATAAACAAACAAACAGACACACAGACAAACACAGAGACTGGGATGGTTACAGACAGTGTGCCAGAAAAGAGAGCAAAGCGATTGAAGCTGTAGCGCGTCGTGGAAGGTGGTTTTAGGAAAAGCGCCTTTATATTGGCATTTACGGTACTTTTTCTTTCATTTTTGGTGTACAGAGGTGATGAGTAGAAAACAAGAAATAATTTTGTGCTGCTGCAGTCAGCAGAGATACGTAAGGGAAAAAAAAAAAAAAAAACGAATATTAAACTGATAACGCAGCATTTCTTTGTGTTTGTGTGTGTTTTAGTATACATGTTTCTGTGTTTTGTGAAAAATCGTTAATTAGATGTAAAACTTTTATGGTTAATGGGTTACATATTTTGAAATTTTTTTCTTTCGTTTATTTTAGTTGAATTCCTTTCTGGTCTTTTACTGCATTTATTTTAGTAAAGTTGGAAGCTGGAGAATGAATGGAAAAGATGGGTTTTTTTGTTCTCGATTAAGTTTTATGGACATTGAATTGTAAGGGCAAAAATCAGTTGTAAAAATTCAACGAAAAATATATCACATATAGCTTGGTTTGTGCTCTCGTTGTTAATATTAATTTGTTTTGATTGCTCTCTTCACATTCTATCTGCAGTCGAGCAGATTTGTGGATAATAAAGTTACGTACGTGAAAAAAAAAAAAAGACAAAAAGAGAAGAAACGAGGACTAGCGTTTCTGTTACTGTCATTATATCACTGACTGTATTGTTGACTTCTCTCGCCATAAACTTAGTATGCCTATTTTTGCTTGCAAAGAAAATTTTTTTTCCCTTTCCACAATAGATGTTTAAGTTCATGTTTACTTTTTTTATTGGAAATTGCTTCTTTTTTTTTTTTGGACTTAATTAGCTGATATCGTTACGAGACTAATTTATTGTTTCATTGCTTTGTGGAATAATAATTAAGGAGTTTTTAATTGTTTTATCAAGGTGATGGCTGTTTTTTTTTTTGTTTGCAGGGCTTCAAATACTATAGAACTGCCGCTCGATGTATCTGTTTACAACACGCTATCAAAGATGATCAGTAATTTGACAGTTTGATTGTAGCGTTTGCAACTGTATTGGTATGGTCATTTGCCAACCGCGGTACAAGCAGGTACAGGACCTGTTTTGTGCTGGCAACTATGATAAGGAATTATCTTGCTTTTTTCTCGAGTATATTTTGGAACATGCTTTGATGGATTTGTATCCAAATGGTTTAACGTGAAATCTAACCTAGTACTGAAGTAGCAGTTACAGCTGATCATAAACATTATTTTACCAGGTTTGTAATATTTTGAAAAGTCACGTAGTAGAGAAGTGAGGAAAAAAATATTCCAATCACTAGCATATGACAGTATTATTAACAAATAATCGCAGGTAACAAATGATAATCGAAACAACAATTTAACTGCTTTCGCAGCGGACAATGACTATTATGCCTTTTTTCTTACTAGTATACTCGTCTGAAATGTTTATTTAATGTCAGCCTTGGCCATGTAGCTTCATTTCAGAAAGGAAGGACACATGATTGTCTGAAGGCGAATAAGTGCTAAGTGCTAAACAAAATTCTACGAGGTAGTCGGGTTTGCAAGGGTCATTTATTGCACTGTGATGAGTTTATCAAATACATGTTAATGAATCGGTAAATTCTGATTTCTAAAGAACCGCTGAACAAGATAATTCGTATTTCTTAGAACTGACGCTCATACTATTACTTCCAGTATGTTTGCATCATGAACCGCATTTACTTCTACATGAACCTAAAAGAAGATTGTTTTATCTTATGGAATGTTCTGTTTTAAATCCGAAATGGTAAGAGGTAGAGGGGCTGTGCCGTCAAAACAATTAGAAACCATTCAATTTGTTTTTCATTTGCTGTACTACAAAACTTAAATTTTATTTTTTTTATTTGCACAAAACTGAAGAATTTTAGACGGAAATCAAAATCAAACTGGGGAATTATGTCACATAAATGTTCGGTCGTACAGTGGGGTCCAGTTAAACTTTTTATGCAGTTCGCTTCAAAATTGAAAACAAAAAAAATTACTAGGCTCAAATATAAAAAAAAAACCGGGTGGAACTGAAGTTTTCTTTTCCTTCGGATAATTAAACTATAGCCCAAAGAAGAAATTCTCTGAAATTCTTGATGTCCAGCAATTAATTGGTGAAAAGAGGGAGATTTAACCAAAGTACAAGATTTTGAAAGCGGAGCAAGATTCTCAGCGGGTAAAGAATGTTGGCACCAAACGCAGCACCTTCCTCACAGGTAATTTTTCTACGAGTGAGTGAGATTGTTTCTCATGGGTTTTATGTAATAAAAAAAAAATATTTTTATTTTGAGATTCATGCCGATAAAAAAAAACAGCCTTTGGAAGCATGCATATTGCCGAGAAATTTTGTAAAGTCGTCCCTATTAAAGATTCTAAGCAGTAAACAACTTTAAATGATGGGAAGACAACTTCCAACACAATAGTAATAATTAGAAAGCTAAGGAAGTTTTATAAAAGGCAGAACCCATCAGTTACTGCTCTCTGTCCACTTCTCAGTTAGTAGCTCGCGTAGACGGTCAGTACGGAAGAAGAAAGTCCAACTGCATTCAATACCGTTAACAAACCATTGAAGGATTGTAGGTAAGTAAAGCAACACCAATATTTCAGAAAAGACACTGACTCTTTAACAAACTCTGATCAAACACTCATTAGAATACAAGAATAATTAATAATTTATTTCAAAAAAGGGAACTAAATTGGACTGTGAACTGTACCAGAGTCACCAGATTAGACAAATTTCTTTGTTTTGCTCTGTGTTAACGACATCTGCTTTCCGTATGGAAAATTAAATGAAGGGAAAAAATTATCTTGCTTTCAGACATACCCGAGTAATTGATCTCTATTACAGTCTCAAATTTTTCAAAAAAACAATCCATTTTCCGTTTCCTATATAAGAAAACCAGCATAATACGGTAGATTCCAGCGGAATTTTCAACAACCTTCACCTTTAATGATCAGCAAGACCAACAAAATTTGCTTAGGATAAAAAGCAATAATTTCATATTATCGTTTAAAATCCAGTTTACTAGGTGACCAGTACCAATTCTGAAGTTTCATCTACTTTTGTTTTACAATTCTCCTGCTATCTTTCCTCCGTATACATCAGTGTTTCATTTATAGTGAACAAAAAGATTTGTTCAAAAACATGTGTGAATAGATTTAATATTCTGAAAATGAAATAGAAACAAAATTTTTCCATAAAAAAAGCATGTAACAAAACTAGAAATACTGCATGGCAACCATGCACCCTTGATAAAATCTTGCAATTCTCATATATTTCTAGGATTCATCTATCATTGTATGACACATGTTGTTCGCTTGGGAAGTTTTTTCAAGAAAAAAAAAAAAGAAGCCTAGTAAGCCAGTTTGAAAGTCATGTCGATTATCTTTACATTTTGCGCTTTCCGTCATACAATACCAAAAACAAGTAAAACTGTGCAAACACATTACCTTTGATAAAGCGAGTTTTTTTCTGCATTCAGTGAACGGGAAGGGAACACCAGTTTACATTACAATTAAGCTGCAGCTTTCTGGTTAACTTTTTTCTCGCCAAACAACAAACAACATGTTGTTTTTGATAGCTTTAAACTCTACTGCAGCTAAGCGTGCTCAACCCTAAATTTTATTTTTTTTCATATCAATAACGTACTTCCGTATTTCTTATGTGAGATTTTTAAACCTGCTTTATTCACGTGCAGCAATTTCGGATCTGTTTATCCGAGTTCCTTCAACCTTTTTGAGATTTAGTTCTAAACCTCGATCTTCATTCTCAAGTAATTTTAGAAAACTACACCGACTGAAAGTTCATGGCTTAACAGACAGTATGCACATTTTGTAACTGCACCCAAGAACTCGGTTGGTTCAAACCTAGTTTTATACGAGTTTTTTTCTCACAACTTCACCGTTCTTTTACCACCTTCTAGTCAACCCAACAACACTTATGCAATCATAGCAGCTTAACTGTGTACATGGAACTATTGACTGATTGTACGAGACAACGAAAGAAATTATTGGTAAAGTCTTTCCAGAACACGTGCATACATGTACGTATCAAAAGGATCAATCATACCTCTTATGGTTTTCCCCACTTCCTGCGACACTAAATGAAACGCGGATTTCAGGATTTCTTTTGACTAGACTTCTTTACCAGAACAACAAGAATACCCTTGGATGAA